TAAAATTCTGCAATATTCCTTGGTCATATTTTTGCCCCCCCCCCCCCAGTTCTCTAATGGATAACCCCAGGGCATTCATTGGAATTATTGTAAACTTGATAGTGAGTTTTGCAACACATTGGTGTCTGGAACATCAAGGTCACATTTAAAAGCATGAAATAAATCAAACAACTCTTCATTTGTGATGCTCAGTTCTAATATTTTTATTACAACAATACATATTTACAACTAAAACAAAGATACATTTACAACACACTGAGAAACACTTGTATATTCACAACCTTCTTCAGACCTATCAAAATTCTCCTGAACTTTGAAATTATGTCCTCCGTTTCATACCGGATAGAGTTCTGGAAAATTTTAAGTAATAGGATTTAAAATCACCAACTTATTTAAATGAATTTTTAAATATCTGATAGATTTTTGGATATTGTGCATGAAAAAATGACATGATGGTGTTCAAAGTAAAATTCAGGATGTTTTGTCAAAGGAATAATGAAAAAAAACTGGACATCCTGTTGTGAAAGTTATCTTGAGTTAGGTTTAAATTTGTATGCATACATCAAGAATTGATATGCAAATTAGCTACTTGGTATGCAGAAATATGTACAGAACTTTTAGACATGTACTGTCAAGCAGACAGAAAAGTTTAAAGGCTTGTAGTCTTCCCACTCAATTTCCAACCTAAAGAACCTTCAGTTACTGTAAAATGACTAATTTTCACTGATTTTTGCTGATTTACCATTTCAGGTATATTCAGTAGGTTTTAAATTCATGGTTTTATCATTTAGATAATGTGTTCTATGCTAAATTTGAAATATTTACTGGGTTTATTTTTAGCACATTTTTCAGTCAGCAAAATAAGCAAAATTAAAACCCAGTGAATAATTAACCTCTTTACAGTACTGTACATATTAAAGGGGGCATTATAACAAAAGATACAAAGTGTGAAAACTAAAGATTTATGCAAAATCTTGCAAACTTTACAGTGAATTTTGTTTTCCTGAAATAAAATAGCACAAATATTTGAGGAGATCATTTTTTCCCTAATCAATATTTCCCAAAAAATAAAAAAACAATACAAAGTATATATATATATATATATACCAGTAGTTATTTCATGCAGATTCATGCCATTTAAGTGATTAAACACAATACAGAGAACAGTATATTTTGCATATTTAATGAAATAAATTTTGCACCAGAGTATCAATGGATATTTTGCATATTTAGCGTGTGACCACTATAATTGACCAATCACAAGACAACAATTATAACTGTATTCATTTTTTTTTACAATAGATCATGTTTTCACTCAAGCATAATGCATTGAACAGTTCTGTGTGCAAGAGAATAGCACCATCAACAACAGTACAATGACACAACACAATGTATAATGTATAGTAATCATATCATTTATACAACATTCTGTTACTGGATTCTAAAAGTCACGAATTAAAATACAAAATACTGCATTCTGTATACCGGTATATATCAGTTTGTTCACTTT